GTAAGGGATGGTACAGTTTAATATTATGGGGCCGGGGTCCCTGTGGTCTGATCGGTCTGGTGCAATGACCACCGGGCGCAATTACAATTCAAGCTGAACTTAAAATTACTTAAAACTACGGCAGGTGAAGGTCCGGTGTGACCGGTGAAATTAACTCCCGGTGATTTTTACTGGGGGAGTAATAATCACCGGGAGTAATTATTTCCTAAGCTAGCCGGCGATTATTACTCCCTCTATATTTTAACTCCACTTTATCTGGGGAGTAATTATTTCCTAAGCTAGCCGGCGAATATTCCCCCCTCTATATTTTAACTCCACTTTATCTGGGGAGTAATAATCGCCGGGAGTAATTATTTCCTAAGCTAGCGGGGAGCAAATAAACTACTAGAATAAAAATAAAACTTTAAACTAATGTTTAGGTAGGATTATTCCATTACTTCTTTTATTAATTATTAGATGATGATTTTAGTAAACATTAATCGTTTTAGTTGTCACTATGCACGATTTTATACATAACAAGCTTTGAGTATTACCTGTAGGCGTTGCCCTGGGATAAGTAACACGGAGATGAACAATCCACCTTGTTAACTTTTTTCCTACATGAACCAATTGCGAGCACAAAATAATGTTATTAACAACCACACAGGACACTGCCTTTAATTATGATAAAAACATATAATGAAAATATAATATTATACTGCTATGATCACAGCTGGTAACTAGAGGTTAGGAATCTTTTATAGTTTAGAAGTTTAAGTTTATAACTAGTAAGTGATAACCACGATTTCTACAACGAATGAATACCTGTTTAAAAAAAAAAAAAAAATATTAAACAAATGAATTATTAGGTATTTTACTTTTTACATTACCCAGAAATGTCTTCGTTTTGCAATTTACTAATAATGGTACTGCTAAATATTGACGGAATCTGCGCTGACGGCATCTACGCCGACTAGTATCTAACCGACGGAAAAATGAAGATGAGTATCTACGCCGATAGTAAATACGCCGATGGTATGTTTTTTTACAAAACTAATGTTTTTCTATGGGACTAATATGAAACTGAAAATTATGGAAAATTAATTATGTTATTAAATAATTAAAAATAAAATACCAAACTCGTGTGGCCTAGTTTTTTTTAATAATAAATATTTTTTGGCTCTGAAAAGAGCCTTTTTATGCCCTAAAAAGGACATTTTTTAAAACGACGAGTGCCCCCTAAGCATGGCCATTTAGCAAGATTGGAATTGAAAATTATGAGCAATTCCCTGCAAATAATCGGAGGTGTCGCGATTCCCATATTATTATACCAATATGCATTTTTTTTTTTTGGAAAGAATCAACATTTGACAGAAAAAAGGCGATCGTTTATCGACAATTTCAGATGTAAAATAAATTACCTACTGACAAAGACGCACATTATACGCAGTTCATGAAGACTCAAGAATAGAATTTAAAATATTTTTTTTTTTAATTGTGACTTAAAAAATTAAATATAACTGTAAAAAAATAAATTGATAATTCGTGTTATATCAAAAATTTTTTATGATTTTTTTAAGTAAACATTTTTTAAGTGCATAATTTTAGATATTTAGTGCATATAAATGCATATTTTTTTTAACTCTTTAAGGCATATTATTTCAACGCATATATTGCCAATTTTGAGTGCATAAATGCAAGGCTGGGCATTAACAAGTTAAAAAGTTTAAGTTAAGTTAATAAGTTTATTTTATTTTAGCTATTTCGTTTTCATGTCAAAAAATATTTACCGTGAATTGTTTATAGTAAAAAATGTAAATCATTCGAATCTATAACTAAAATGGAAATACTGTATAAAGTATAAACTCTATAGTCTATAATTTAGTTTTGGGTTGGTAAAAATTAAGTTAATTTGTATCATTACATATTAACGACTTTATTTTATTGGATAATTTTTTGCTATACAAAAAATATATGAAGTATAATTTCGTTAAAACAAAAAAAAGACGTGTTTCTTTATCTGAATAAATGTATCATACCTTTTTTTTTTTTTTTTTTTTTTTCGTGTTTGAACCGACGGCGCCGCGGGAACTGCTTTCGCATTACTGCCGCGAAAATTAAATGTATCATACCTAACTGTCTAACATACAACTCACAAGAGTACAAGATATTATATTCAATGCATACCATACCTAAATAAAACAATAACTAATAAAGGTGATTACGTGTATAAGACCAGTTATTGCTGTTATGATATGTGGTGTGTAATTTTGATCGTATTTTACAGATTTTATTGGGAAAACAGGCTATGGCAATAGCAGCCTTTCGGAATTCCGGATTTTAGGATGATACAACTTGTATACAAAATAATGACATACTATATATTATATATATATAAATAGTTATTATTAGTGTTTGAAGTATGAAATATTTCTCAAAAAAACGTGATACATTGAAATTTTTTTGATCACAAATATTAATGATGGTTATTTATCAATTATCAATTATAAAGTCTAAGAGTTCTAGGTATAATCATTGACATTAATGGAATACGAGTGCTACGGTCGACCTATTATTATATTCGGTCTTATTTTCGACTATTTATACACTGAACCAAATATCATGAGTAAAAATAATAATAAACAATTATCAATTTTTAACAATCTGACATTTATTGAATCAATTCTTATTTTATTATTTTTATTACAAATATGTTTAAATTAATTAATTATATGTTAAAAACAACAATTGGGTTTATTGAAATGAATACTGTGTATTTTCACATTTTAACAATCACAATTATTTATATAATGTGTTATTTAATAATATTGCATTATTGATTTAAAAAATGATGTATTTAAAATAACATTACGTTGAATTAAATTAATAAAACCATTATCATTTCAGTAGTAAGTATAGACTTTAGATTGATAAATGCTATTATTAACTTAGTTTCCAGCAAATGCAAAATTCGTATTCTATTTATATCTTAATTTGTTGCAAATCGACAATAATTATTATTATTTCAATAACGTATAAAATTAATTTAATAACATATCATGATTATCAAAAAGTTAAATTGATCAATTCGTTTTTATCGTTTTTGTCTTTCGTGTATCGTGTTATGAAACAGTTGCTCCTCGTATGCACTTATGCAGTTGTATTACTAATTACTAATTAGTAAAGTTCAGAATCCAGATAAACTGTTCCTCTGCCATAATAGCTATTAAGTTAATCAGGTATATTCATATTAAAATTTATTACAATATTACAGTGTCACATAAAAGGTAAGTACCTTATTATTTATGTTATTTTCATAGTTTCTGTAGTGCATGATAACTAACATTTTTATAATTATTTTATTCAACCATCAATACCCAATTTACAATTATGATTTGTTTTATTTGCAAACAAGATATTTCAACTTTTTCAGCACTGATAGTTCATTTAAAAATAATTCATTTGTTAAAGTCTTCGAGTACATATGAATGCATAGAAAACCAATGCACTCAAATATTTCCCAATTTAAATAGTTATAAAAGACACGTTACAATAAAGCACTTAAAATATACTTTTAGTTTACCTACATCAACACTTAATAATTCTTATACTATTTGCGATAATATTAACAATGTTAATAACACTATAGTTAAAACCCCGGAGCCTTTGGATACTGCCTATAGCCATGATATAACCAAAACCAACTATAATCAACAACCCCCTCCAGAAAGTCATAATTCCTTTGACTTAAGTAGTATCATTAACTCATTTCATATTTCTGCAGTTACATTTACTTTATCATTACTTAATAAAAATAACTTCAGTAGAAAAGATGTTTTTGATATCCAACAAAAAATGAAAATAAGTTTATTGGAACCAATTGTGAGTTAACTTACTAGTTTTACCAAAGAAACAATTAAAGAACCAATTTTATTAGTAACTTTTCAAACAATTACATCAGCAATTTCTGATACATTTAATTTTTGTAATACCGAATATTCTTTAAACAGTTGGTTGGTTGAAAATCACTTATTTGAAAACATTCAACAATTTACTGTTAATGAAGAGATTGACTTAGTATCTAACTAAGGTAAAACTATGTATAATAACCAAATTACTAAGGGTGTATTATTGCCAATAAATTTTCAGTTAAAAAAATTCTTTGAACATGATAACAACTTAGATAAAACTTTAACAATCTATGAACAATTGACAAAGAACACAAATAATGAAACAGAAATAAAACATTTTGTACAGGGAAAATTGTGGCAAGAAAAAACTTTACCCTACCGGGGTAAAATTACAATCCCCTATTTTATGTACATAGATGACTTCGAAATCAATAACCCGTTAGGGTCGCATGCTTCGGTTCATTCTATTTCAGCTATATACTATAGTTTTCCCTTATCTGACCAATCAAAATTAATAAACATTCATTTAGCTGCTTTAATTAAAGCTGCCGATGTTAAAGATTTTGGAAATGATTTATGTTTTAATAAATTGATACATATATTAAATGATATTGAAGTAAATGGTATCAACATAACAACTTCAAATGGTGTCAAAAAAGTTCATTTTATTTTAGGACTGTTTATTGGTGACAATTTAGGAATAAACGCTATCAGTGAATTTAGCAGATCATTTTCTTCCAATTTCTTTTGTAGGTTTTGTAAAGCTCATAAAACTGTAACGCATAAACTATGCAAAGAAAATAATTCACTACTTCGTAATTTAGTCAACTATGCTGAAGATGTTGCAATTAATGATTTAAAGTTAACTGGGATTTCTAAAGAATCAATTTTAAATAAAATTGTTTCTTTTCATGTTACAACTAACTATAGTGTTGACAGGTAATAGGAAAAAAAGGCAATTGAAAAAAAAGCAACGGAAAAAAAAGCAGTAAAAAAAAAGCAAACGGAAAAAAAAACAAATGAAAAAAAAGCAAACGGAAAAAAAAGCATTTGAAAAAAAAGCTAAAGGAAAAAAAAGCAAACGACGCACATTTTTGTTTTTTTTTTAAAAAGAATTTTAATAACTCAAGATAATTACAATATTTTACTTAATCAGTGAGAAGTGTAAAATATATACGTGGTTTTTTTGTAGCTTAGCCCTTTCCTCCTTTTCCCTATCTTCTCCCCCATTAAAAGGTTTTATATTATTTATTAATTATTTTTTTTAACCATTACTTAATATGTTATGTATAGCAAACCATTTTAAGGAGAGAAGCAAAAAATGTTCCTCCTTTAAGTATAATAATATGTAATAGTTGCCTATTTACATACAATTTAGTTAAAAGCTTGGATGTGATTTATTATGATTGTGGCGGTCCAGTTTGACTTAATATGTAATATGTAGGTACTACGGACGCTCGTCGAAGCTCGTGCCGCTTTCCCCGACAAATGATTAGAAACAACGTGGCACTTGGTCACTAAATAAGTGATTATTTGATATTATATACCTCCTATATGACTCGTCACATCGTAAAGGACAACAATTGACAAATGATACGACTATAATAAAAATGTCAAAATCATATTTCAAACTTATCTTATAATGATTCAAAGACAGATAATGAGATAGGTAGGTATTTAGGTTTTCAGGTTTTCGATAATTGATAAAATATCAACAGTAATATTATATTGGTATTTTTGCAATAATATGTTAGTACGTTGTTATGCTGTGTTCTCGAATGTTCTATTATTTTACCAGCAACAATGGAAATAATTAAATCTAACAAAAAAAATGACAAAGTTTGTCTTGATGGTCATATGTACACATTATACTACGAAACTAGTAAAACAATTAAATGGCGATGTTCTAAAAAGTCTTCATTAAAGTGTCCAGCAGTTTTAAGTACGGATAAACAAATAACCGAATATGAAAAAATTCATCGTCATAATCATTTACCAAATCGCAAGGAAGTTATGGTAACCAAAGCGTTGATGAATATGAAAGAAAAATCATGTAAGTACATATATAAATATTATATTATATTATATTATATAGATAATATATAATATATACCTAGTATGTTAATTAATTGGATAGTCATAACATGTCATAACTCATTAGTAGTGTTTCCAATTGCATTAGTATTTTTTTCTATGAATGTCGATAAAACTTTTTTTGTCGGGTAAAAAAGCTTGAAAATTTAATACAAGGCTCCTACTAAATTGTTACTATGACATTTGAAAAATATTCAAGATCTTTGTCACAGTTTTTATTTATAAGTATTTAAAGTTCAAATTTTGACAAAATACGGAAAAATCACGAAAATGAGCAAATTATATTGAGTTGAGAATAAAAAAGCTAGTCAATAGTTTTTTTTTACATTTTTCTGGAAATGTTAACAATATTCTACATATTTAAAATTATTTTGCCTAATATTCATGAGCGTTTATAAGTTCAAATAATAATATTATGTAGATTGTAAACATAAAATATTTTTTTTATAAATACATACAGCCACAACAACTACAAATCTTGTTGAAATATTTGCCAATGGTGTATCAAAATTGGATAAATCAGCAAAGGCTCAAATGCCATCTGAGGATACAGTCAAGAGAACTTTACGTAACCACCGGTCAAAAGGAAATCCAATCGATCCAAAAAGCTTAGAAGACTGTATAATACCACGTAAGTAGTTATTATAATATGATAGTTAAGATTATTTTTAGTATTTTAAATCATTTTGATAGCCACCTGGACGATAAATTCTGATGGACATCGTTTTTTATTGTATGACAATGGAATCGTTGACGAAAATGGCAAATGTAATGCTGATGAAAGAATTGTCATATTTGCAACCGATGAAGTATTATTAAATCTTGCTAAGTCTTCAACTTGGATGATGGATGGAAATTTTGCTCTAGCCCCAGTGATTTTTCAACAACTTTATGTTATAAGAGTAAAGGTAAATATTTATATTATAGTATTATAATATTTTTATAATATTCAATTTAAATTTAAATTCAAGCCTGGATTAAAAAAAAAAAAAAAAAAAAAACAAAATTGTTGGAAAACATAGTTAGTTCATTATCTATAGTAATTTTTCGTGGTATAAGATTGAGAATAATTTTGTATTATATATTTTGGGGATAAAGATAAGCCCCAAAATCAATGGGCCCTGGGACAGTGCCCCCTTGCCCCCCCCTTAATCCGGGCTTGTTTTAATTTAAATATTTATAGAAACTATAGTACTTCAAAACATTGTTTATAAAGTAAATCCTCAATCGACAGTCACACATAAAATATTTAATATAAACCAATTTAATATAAACATATTTTTACAAAATAGAATATATTAATATGTTAAGCTTGTAGTGTTATAGTGGTACTTATTATTAGGTACTTAAATTAATTTAGCTTTATTTTTATATAGATAAATGATATATTTGTTACATCTGCTTTTTGCTTACTTCAAAGAAAAACACAATCAACTTACGAAGTAATGTTCAAAGCCATTATCTCTGAGTGTGAAAAGAGAGACATTTTTCCTGATCCATCTCATATTCATGTAGATTTTGAAAAGGCCATTATTCAAGCTATTCGTAATGTTTTTGGTGAACATTCAGAAGTTAAAGGTTGTTATTACCATTTAACACAAAGCACGCATAGGAAAATCCAGCAGCTTGGTTTGGAAAATTTGTACCGTGAAAATGATGAGTTCATGTTATTTTGTGGACAAGTTGATAGTTTGGCTTTTTTGCCGGTATCTGACATATTTGAAGGAATGTCTCATTTACGTAAAATCATGCCCGAAGAAGCACATGACTTGGTGGAATATTTTGATCAAACCTACGTAAATGGGACATACAGACGTATTGGCCAAGGAAATAAATTGAAATTCCGAAAAGTACCACCTCTTTTTCCACCTGAAATTTGGAATGTACACGAAAGTACATTACATAATATCGAGCGTACAAATAACCAAACTGAAGGTTTCAATAATCGATTTTCTAAGTTGGTAAGCCATAAGCACCCTTCTATTTGGAACCTCATTAAGAAAATGACACTGGAAGTTGCAGCCGATGAGACAAAACTCCAGCAACGGTTATTAGGCACAGTGCAACCAAAAAAAAAACTTAAGAAGTATGAAAAAATGCAATTCAATTTAAAAAAAATATGTGAAGAGTATAGAGATAAGCAACGTGATCTACCAAATTTTTTATTAGCCATATCTCATACCACAAGGTTTACACTATAAATTATATTATGATAAATTTATGTTTTATATTGACGCAATATTAATCCAATATGCATTTAATTTTATACTTGAAATTTTATTTTAACTTATTAGGTGTACATTTTTGCTATACTTATACGTTATACACTTATGCCTGTAGGTACCTATGCCTTTTTTTCATTTGCTTTTTTTTCCTTGTGCTTTTATTTCATTTGTTTTTTTTTCTTTTGCTTTTTTTTCCTTTTGCTTTTTTTTCATTACTTTTTTTTCCGTTGCTTTTTTTTCAATTGCCTTTTTTTCCTAGATTCGTGTTGACATGATGCATGATATATTCGAAGGCATTTGTCATTACAACATGTGTCATATAATCAACTACTATACTAATGTAGTTAAAATTTTCTCACTTGATTTACTAAACTATAGAAAACAGAATTTCAATTATGGTGCTATTGAAATAGGAAATATCTCACCTATTATTAAATCAACTCATTTAAACAATTTTCACTTAAAAATGTCAGCACGCGAAATGATGACTTTTGTTTATTATTTTCCGTTAATGGTAGGAGACTTAGTTCCTGAAGATGACAATGTTTGGTTATTTTTCTTAAATTTTTTAGAAATTATTCAAAATTTACTATCAAGTCAAATGTCTGATGGCTCTATTTTCCACCTTCAACAAATGATAGAAAAACATAATTCAGAATATGTCTTATTATTCAATGATAATTTAAAACCTAAATTTCATTTATTGATACATTATCCAACAGTTATAAAGTATTCTGGGCCTCCAAAACATTTTTGGTGTTTCAGATATGAAGCTAAGCATAAAGAAATGAAATCATATGCCCATGCAATAACATCCCGTAAAAATATAACTTTATCGTTGGCTAAAAAATTTCAATATAAATTTTCATACAGCATTCTACAATCCTCATTTAACACTGAAATAATTACAAATAAAATACATGTTAACTCTAGTAATTATACTCAACTTATTTTAAGAAATTTAAATTTAACTAGTGACCAGTTTATGTGTTATTCACAAATGGAATTTAAGGGTACAACATATAAAGTAGGATACTTTTTAACAAATTTTATTGATGAATTGTGTCTTTATGAAATTTTAGAAATATTAGTAATAAAAAAAAACTATAAAGTTAATTTTATTGTTCAACAAATTGAAATAGATTTATATAACTCTCATTTAAAATCATACCAGATAAATAAAACCAAAAATATTATTTTAAAAAAAATATTAAGTCCTGGGGAATGTAGTGGACCACCAGTAAATTTACATGAACTTCCCAATGGCAACATAATGTTAAGATTAAAGGAATATTATTCAGATTGATAATCACAAAAAAAAACCCATACTTGTTTATTGTTATTTTTATTATTATTTTTTTTTTTTTTATTGATCTTCCCACTTGAGTCTTTGGGCTAGAGTGGATGTGCACATTGTTAGGTCAATACAGAATAAGGTTCCATCGTCTAGATTGATATGAGTGGGAGACACCTCATTTTACATTACAATATTGTTGTTTTCTAATAGTTTTTCAATTTTTTTGCCTCTATAGTCTGTTTTTTCGGATCCTTATTTATAATTTAGTTAACATAATTTTGTAAATATAGCTTAGTTTTATATTAATATTAATATCTTATTGGTTCCTTATTTTCTTAAGGTTTTTTCAAAATGAATGATATATTTGATAATATAGAAGATTATCCAGCCAATTTCACTTGTGCAGAATATGTACCTATTGATAATGGTGTTTCTAAAATGTCTCATAACACTAATGGCCATTCTGCTCAATTCGCCTCAGTGTATAAACATTCAACATTTGTAGATCCTGAGGGAAAATTGAAAGTACTTCTCACAGAGTGGAATCTTGAAGTGGTATATCAAAGATGTTTAGGTAATTAATTAAAAAATAAAGTTGAATATTTTATTTAAATTTCTAATTCATAATTTTATTTTTAGATCAACTAATTGATTTTGAAGTATTAGGGCTGATGAATGAAAAACATGTTGAGATACTGCTGTCAGACTTTCCACTGGGAATTCGAATAAAATTTGAAAACAGGGTAAAAAGATACCAAGAAAAAGAAACTCAAGCTATCATTAGTGAGCCATTTACTGTTGATAAGTCACCTAGCCATCAAGTTGCTATTAATAATACTGATTCGTCTTCACAAAGCCCAACAAGCTTATCGGAAAATAATGTATTTCAATTACAAAATGTTTTAACAAGCAGCGCACAGGGATCATTGATTTTAGAATATTACAACAAAAATAAAATATTAAATGAAAGTTGTCGCAATATCTTAGTAGAAATTATCATAAGCGACGTCATAAAAAGAGATGGTGTTATGACATTAAAATTAGCAAATTGTATTGCTGAAGCTATTGTTGGTAGTTTTCCTACTGAAATTAAAGTTAGTATTTAATATTTTACTTCAATATGTAACCTAGTAAATTAATACCATGTAACTGTATTTTTGTAGGATTCATATTTTATAAAAGATTCCATAACTAAAAGTCCTAAAGGAAAATTATATATAAAATATTATAATACAGTGCGGTCGATGAAACAAAATGGTCTTATAGAAACTGTAAGAAAAGAAAAATTGAAAAAACAAGTAAGCCGTACAATGGATCGAGATAACAATATACATGGTAATACAATAATTTATGAACATATTATATTTAATTTTAACATGTTTTTTTAATAAATAAGATTTGCAATTTAATGTAAAAAAATATTTTTTGTAAAATGTATTTAATAAAACATTTAATCAAAATAAGCCTTTAACGATGTACCTAATGATTAATTATAAAAGTCAATGTTCTTTAAAACTTTAAAAAACCTTTTGTTATGATAGAAGAAAATATTTTGTTTTATTTTTTATTTATTAGTTTTAAACGGGTGTGAACTCTTCAACAAAAGATAGAGACACCATAAATAGATACAAGTTAAATCTGACAGATTACAATAAACACAATAAAAAATCAAATTTTCAAAAATAACAAAAAAAATAAATATAATTTAATTAAAGTAGGATTAGTTAAAAAAATGTATTTACTTGTATGTTTTTATTTATTTTATAGTTGCTGAACCTAATTCAGAACAAGACTCTTCTTATTTAATGGATACAGATTTAACTTGGCCTGAGGTGGAAAAAATTTGGAAAAAAACAGTAAATTTTCGTCAAAATTTTATCAAAGAAAACGATACTAGAGCCATATTTGAAAAATTTCATCATTATACCAAACCAATGGGTTATAAACTTGTAAGTTCGAAAATATTATTTAATAAATTAATACCTAACTAATTAAAAAGGTAATATATATAAATATACACTATACAGGGTGATTCACCAAGCATGCTCATTGCTCACCCCTTTTTTCTTCAATAATGCAGTTATTCAAAATCTGATAAAATAAAAAATAATATAAAATATCTATAATCAGTATAATCTGATAAAATAAATTATAATATTGAATTATGATAATTTATTCAACAAAATTTATTTTATAAAATCAAGGGAATTATATTTACAAAAATAGGTATATTATAAGTACTTAATAAACAATGTATGTAATCTATTGATAATGAAATTTTAGGTTGATATTGATTTCAAAAATGTATACCCAGAACATCAACAGTTAAACTTAGAATTCGATAGAATATATAGCAAATTAATAACAGTTTTAAATGAGCGAGTGAAGGACTGCGCAAGTAGGAAATTATTGGAACAATTAAATAGCACCCAAGATTTGTCAGTTGGTAAGCATTTAAAAACTATAAAATATTTTACTCTGGATTATGTATGAACATAAATTACAAATTACAATGATTCCTTTAATTTATTTTTCAGATTCCAAGAGTTTGATTGTATTGTATTTGTTACACAGTATATTTATTCCAACATCTAAAAAGGTAACACGTGATGAAAATGGCAAAAAAGGATTTATTAAATTCAGTATAAAGGATTCACAGAATGCATTTATTATTATTAAACCAACAGCTGTAGAAATGGATGCAACACTTCAAAATATGTCAAGTAAACATCCTATCCAACCATGTGTCTTAGTCATCGGATCATTGATGGATCCGAAGCAAATACTAATATATTTTGATACCATAAAATATAAAATGTTTAGTGCTTTGAAAGCTTATGATATGTGTTTCAAGATATTTCACGTCTTTAATGTGGAATATCAAATTGAATCACATGATGTATGGTTATTTATTCAAACTTTTTTTTATAACATTAAAACAAAATATGACAAGTCAAATGTTTTAATTAAACAGATTTCCGTTGAATTAAATACATAAATATATTGTCTAGTACATTACACTATTACTTATAAGTTATAAAGTAGTAAAATATTTTCATACAAATCTCAATAAACATTTATATTCACAAGGGCTGTGTTCTATACTATTTAGCTATTTATAATAGGTAGTTTTATACATATAATATTTTGTATTGTAAATTGTAATGTTATTAGACCTCTAAGTATTATTTTTTTTTTTTTAAATATATTGTGTCAATCAGTTAGATAATAATAAATATTATAATATGTTGCTATCTATATATTTTAATTTTGTAAGTGTAATGTAATTTCAATAAGTACAAAATAATTTCATACAAATCTCATTAAACATTAATATTCACAAGGGCTGTGTTCCATACTATTTAGCTATTTATAATAGGTAGTTTTATACATATAATATTTTGTATTGTAATGTTATTAGACCTCTAAGTATTAATATTTTTTTTTATATATTTTGTCAATCGTTAGATAATAATAAATATTATAATATATTGCTATCTATATATATAATTTTGTAACTGTAATGTAATTTCAACAAGTACATATTATTTTTTGTTTTAAATGTATTAAAATGTAATATAATTTATAATAATTTGTACGTATTATTTTTAATTAATAATATTGTACAACCTAATTGGTGTTTAATTAAAAATAAAAATATTTCGATTTAATAAATGTTTTGTTTTTGTTTAATTAACAAATATAATTTGTAAAAACAACCAAATCCTATTTTTAAAAATTAAATTTTTACTGTTTTTAAAAAAAAAAAAATGCAATGTGGATTTAACAAAAAGTTTATTAGTATGATACAACATATGTTTAAATTAATAATATAAATTAATAGATTTAATAAAATAATGTTGTTCGTACAACAATATATACTTTTAAATCAACAAAATGTTTGTTTATTTGTTTTAACTCTTAATGAATCGATTAACAATGAGTATTGTTAAATCAAAAAACCATTTAATCATTTTAAATAGGTATTCATAAGTTGAATTAACAGAGTTTCTACTTCTCAATCAATAAAAGTTTTATTAACTGTATATTAACAAATATTTTGTCAAACCAACCTACATTTTTATTGAAATAACTTGTATATTTTTTTGAGTGTAGCAAAACCTGGTTATTTTCCCAATAAATGGCTTATCGTCGACGACGATGCAATGATCGTACTACTAGCGTAATTCGTAACTACATATTATTTATAATATTTATTACGTTGTCAAACTTTATAATCCTAATCCTTATCTAAACGTTGTAACTTAGGTATAAGTTTATAACAAGAAAAATATACACGGTTTATGTTCATAAAATTATTATGGTGAATAGTTCAACAGTGTATTGTGTTTGTGTATATTTACTGGTTTATACATTTATTGTAAACCGTAAAATTATAAATCAACTGACATTATTGTACTAAACTACTAACGTTTATCGAGTGCATAGTAGGTAGTGCATGTGCTCAACGTCAACATGGGAAAACATAAAGCAAAAGTCCATAAAGTATTTCGCGAATTGAGTGAAAAAAAACATAATAAAATTATCGTTAAAAAATCTTGTAATTATTGCAACTGGACAACCGTAAAAAATGCAACTCGTCAACTTAATCACATTTTGGATTGTAATAAATGCCTAAAAAACATTAAAGACGCATTTCAAACTGATTCAAGTATGTATAATTGTATAAACATATTTTATTTATCTATCAGTTACTTACTACATTTACATGGTGACGTTAAATGGTTTTAAATCCATTGATACTCATTTTGTTATTGCACTGAAAAAAAAATCCTAATCATATTAAAAAAAAACTATGTTGGTTTGACAAATATCTTGTCACTATTCAACCTATAAGATATTTGTTAAACCAACAAATGTTTAATTGTTAATACCATAATATTATTCCGAATATCAGTCTTATATTATTAACAATGGTCTTGTTGAATTAATAACTACTACTTTCAAATGAAAATATAACTCTTGTAACAGTGAGAATATTCTTATCATCATAATCATGATTAATACTAACCAACAACAATGTTATTGTTTAATTAATAATGTTAATTTTTGAACTAACAACTCAAAATTGTTGTATTCATGAGTCGCATTATTAAAATCATATTTTGAAATATAATTTGAATGATAAATATTCTTATTAAAATGACGATTATCTTGTGAAAATGGTTGTTTTATCGGTTAAATAAAAAAGGTTAATATATATTTTGTAAGTGTTTAAATTGTATTTATTACATAAAACAATCAACATTTTAACTCTAGTTACTGAATACTTATACATATAGGTATTTAATACATTTTTTAATATGCTATTAGCCGTTAGGTATGTATATAAAAAAAAAATCTATACTTCATCAGCTTATTAGTAAGTATACTTACTATAATATAAATACAAATAGAATTATATTATAATACTAATTCAGTGAAAAAAAAAATGTAGTATAGTTATATTTATAATATAATCAGTTAACTTATATACAAATAAAATAAAAAAAAATACAAATTATAAATACAAATTAAATTATATTATAATACTAATGTAGTAAAAAAAAAAAAAATGTAATATAACTATATATTTTATAACTTAATCAGTTAGTTTATATATTTTAAATCTGATTCCTTTATAGTATAAATAGGTAATAAAAAATATTCAGCTTAAGAGGACTTGATACTTAATTAAGTTTTTAAAAATATAATTATAGAAAAAATACAAAAATTATTAATTTTTTAAATCATATAAAACTTGAACTAATTTTGGGTGGAGAGTATCATATTTAGATGTTACACCAAAAAAGAATTTTTGTATGAATAACCAAACAATAGATGATTGGCTTGGGTATTCCAAGTTGAATAAGTGGAAAATTGTATAACATACTTCTATAGCCCTTAGTATAGAATGCACTTTATACATAATTGTGTCAAAATATACCAAAATTTCTTTAGGATGAAAAATAGATCCTACAACTAAAATGAATGGTTGGATAGGGTCCCCGCGACTTTTAAGTTGTTCTAAGTGTTGCTGCATTACATCAACGGATTCACCAAATACTATTAAACTGTCTTGTGAATCTTTAATTGAATACTTCATTAGATTCTTTCTTCCTTGTTCATCTCTGGTAAGTTTTCTGGAAGTGGGAGCAAAAAGAGCATGCAGCAAATATACCAATACACAATTTTTGACATCTATAAACAATTTTTTTGTAAATAAAAATGCATTATTGTTATTAGAAGTTTAATTTTAATATATCTTACTATCATTAATATTCATTTCATTTGTATTTTTTAAGGTGTCCAATATTTTTCGGCTGTTTAAATCTTTGATTTTTTCATCAAATAATTTAAAAACTTTATCCGATTTGTCCTTGAAGTCTTGATAAATATTAATATTAGTTGGAAATAGAACATTGTAATCAATATCAATCTAAAAAATTATTTTTTATATAATGGACATCTATAACGCACAATTTAAAATTTCAATTCCTTACCAATTTATGGCCGTAAGGAACTTTATATTGTTTCCAATTCTTTAAAATGTCTGTAGTCGATCCAGAATTCTTAATATAATTCAATCTATAATTTACTGTAGCTTTCCAGTTCGATTCTAGTTCTGGGAATGTAGTGTCATTGTATTTCAATACATCTAGTATAGAATCTATTTCACTTTCAGATACTGTAAATAATTATAACCAGTATAAATAAAGTAAGTTTTTATAGATAAATAGGTAGTACATATTAACGATTTACCAAATTCTTTTTCGAACCATCCATTTTTCTGTGTCTTGTCGGTGATTATTTTGTTTTTAATGATTGTTGTAGGTATTAATCCAGTATTTTTCATATTTCTTACAGAGTTGTAATACTTGGAGTACAATTTTCCTTTAGGATTTTTGTTACAACCAATTTTCATGAAATATGTATCCTGTAGGTTTCATAGTTATTAGTCTAAGCTAATCTTAGTTATTAGTTATTAGTATTACACTTATACTAGAATGAATGAATCAAATTACCTTAACTTCCGTTTTAAACATAGCAACAATTTGGTTTGCTAGTGATTCTGCCAAACTTACAGACATAGGTATTTGTTGGGACAGTACTTGTGCAATAAGTATGTCTACTAATGTTGCCCGTATACCATCGTTCAGTTTGTTGTGTGTTTTAAAATAGTCTAGTATCAGGGAACCTTGAGTAGATGAAGTGAGGACTTCGTCGACTCTTAAATTATGACATGATTTATGAGGTTTTGGAAGAGTTTCTGCATTTGATTTGTTTAAAGACATTTCATTTGAGTTTGTATTTTGACAATTATTTAAAATATTCATGTTCTTTTGCCATTGTTCTAGTTCTTCTTCAAACTTAAATATTATTCCATATGGAAAATTGGTTAAAAGTTTGTAAACCTGCTCACTTTTCATGCGAGAAAGAGTTGTCATATCTATAAGTTGATCTACATAAATAAGCAACATAGAATAAATTTCTATAAATCATTAGTTAATAATCCATTTTATGTAAAAATAGGAAAAATAAGAAACAGCGATCAAGAATTTAACCTAATATAGAATATTAATAATATTATCATTACAATTTATTATTATAAGTCATAGTTTATAACAATTTTCCTACCAACACATGTTTGATAGACACATTTTAATCCCCATAAATCGAATAATTGTTGCATTCTTGGCAAATCTTCCACTGGGTAATTATAATCTAAAACACCACTGCCAGTACTTCCACTAACTGAAGTACTAGTAAATAAATCATCATCAAACGTTTCAGGCAGTCCAAGAGATGCCTAGTGAATTTTGATTAAATAGTAAACAATAAAGTCTAGTTTGAAATTAAAAAATCTTATATTGTAGTATTAAAATGTTTAATTTATTATAACTACTTACAGAACAAGATTGTTGTATATTTAAATATGACCCATTAGGAGTATAATCAGACATATTGATTAGTTACTTAAGTTATTGTACCAAGTATTAAATAAAAAATTGCATTACAAATCTGCAATTAAACCAAAATTTACAAATAAAGTATTAAATCAGTGTTTAAATAGGAAAAATAGCCACATAATCAATAAGTTGACAGTAAAAATAAATATACATACACAATTAGACAATAAAAATGTTTTATGAGAAAATTAAAATAATATTAAAGCTTATCAAATAAATAAAACTGTTTTAACCGTATCATTTTTTTACCGGATGGCATGGTTGTGACATTTATGGGAGGTCCATCAAATTCATTGACACCACATATAAAACAACAATTTATCATTTCTTCGCTACTACTCACATTAAAAGATTCATAATGTGAACTAAATTCGTTCAATCTTATTTCGGTAGCCAAAATATAAACCATAATATCTGGTTGATTAATAAATATAATTTCACTGATTTTAAATAAACATGATTCATTACAATTTTTGGTTAGATAATATCCTTCTTTATATAAAATGCCATTAAATTTTAACTCAGTATAACAACTATACTGCGATGAAGTTAGATTAAGTTTACTGTTAATAGTTTCAGTGTAATTACTTATAATCTTATGTTTATCTTTAAAAATAATGTTTTTATCTGTTTCCATTAAATTTTGAGCAAATTTAAGCTGGTATTTTTTAGCTAATGTCAACGTTATATTTTTTCTAGAAGTTGTTCTCTAGCATACATTTTAAATTCCTTGTGTTTGGCCTCATAGCGAAAACACCAGTAATACCTAGGAGGACCTGAATGTTTTATTATTGTTGGATAGTGTACTAAAAAGTGATGTTTTGGTTTTAGGCTGTCGTTGAAAAGTGTAACATACATAGAGTTGTGCTGTGAAATTAATTGTTTAAGATGAGAAATTGCATTATCAGTAAATGTGTATGATAAAAGAATGTCTATAATTTGAAGCAATATAAGAAAAAGTGCCCAAAACTCATCATTCTCCGGTATTAAGTCTCTTATCATAAGAGGAAGAAAATGAACAAAAGTCATGACTTCTCTAGCTGACATTTTCAAATGTCTTTTTTTTAAATGAACAATTTTTATAGGAGGTGAAATATTACCTACCTCTATTGGTCCATAGTTAAAATTCATTTTTCGGTTATTAAGAGTTTCTAATGAAAATAATTTTGCTGTATCAATAAAATGTGTAAGTATATGGCATATATCATAATGACAAATACCTTCATACAAGTCATGCATGATATCTATACAAAAATTTTGAGTAACATGAAAATGAGTTACTCGATTCAACAACGACTCTTTATAAATTCCAGTTTCTATGAAATTTGAGCTAGCAACATCTACAGAATAGTTGTGAACATTACGCATAGCAGATAAATCTTCTTCATGCATTAATTTAGTTACTGTTTTATGAGCTTTACAGAAGCGGCAGAAGAAATTTGCAGAGAAAGATATACTGAACTCCAATAAACTGTTTAAGCCTAAATTATCTCCTAGAATTATTCCTAAAACAAAATGTACATGGAAATATCCATCTTCTGTTGAAATGCTAACACCTTCACTTTCGAGTATATTGATTTCGTTAACTAAACTTTCTAAACATTTGTCATTGCCAAAAGATGAAAGGTCCACATGTTTAACTAATGCAGTTAAAAAGATATTTGTTAATTTAGAACTATTTTCCGCTAATGGAAAGCTATAATATACAGCTGAAACGGATTGAAATGTTGAATGAGATCCTAATGGATTATTAATTTCAAATTCATCCATATACAAAAAAAAAGGTATTATAATTTTGTCGTTACTATACTGAGAGACCTTCTGTTTCCAAAGAGTTCCTTGAACAAAATTGTCCATAGTTGTACATTCATTGGTTTTATATAAATTTAATCGTGTAAGCTGTTTTTTGAAATTGTCACCTTGTTCAAAATATTTTTGAAACTGGAATTTTGATGGTAATAGAGCACCTGTTGTATATTTCTCATCAAATATAGTTTCACCAATATGCTGAACTGGACAAATATCATTGTTTATAGTAAACTGATTTATTTTGGACAAAAATTCATTATTAATAAGCCAATCTAATAAACGATATTCAGTGCTACAGTAAAGAAAAGTATTTTCGATGACGGATGCAACTCTGTGAAATTTAGAAAGTAAAATAGGCTCTTTTATTTCATCTTCTACAACTTTTTTTAACATGGACACAATAGGAGTTAAAATCTTTTCTACTATACCAACTTGAATATTTAAAATGTCTACTCTAGAAAAATTATTGTTACTATTGTTGCGGGCCTTGACGCTCTAGGCACCCTATTCGCTATAATTGGTATACTACCAAAAAGTCCGAGGTAAAAAAGTCCTAGGAAAAAAAGTCCGATTAAAAAAGTCCGTAGGTAATAAGTCCGAGGAATAAAAAGTCCGTGGTTAAAAAGTCCGAAATATAAAATGTCAACCGTGAAAAAGTCCGGTACATATAATTAGGTAAAAGGAAAAATACCATGTGATGCACAATCAAACTTCCAATTAGTATAAATATAAATTGTAACTAAATTATTTACCTGACAAAATTAATAAATAATCTCGTATGTACCAATAACTACTTTTTGGACTTTGAACACTGCTTGACTTTTAGTTGCATGTAATAATCAAAATCTATTATCTTAATTATCTGGTTTTTCGAGTTTTACTCGTACCTATAACTGATATACATCCGATATACCTAGTTAATATAGATAGAGATATTTATTATCTATAGGTGGTGGACATACTCCACCGTGTACATATCGTACATGGGTAACTGAACAGTTGTCATTTTTGTCAGTATAGTTCGACATTCTGTAAGTGCCTGAACAAATGTCAGAAATGTCAAAAATCATACAAATTAACGAAAAAGGCACCAAAATAGTTGTGGATGGTTATGCATATACCCTTCAACATACATTATCAAAAACAAAACGGTGGAAATGTAGCAAGAAAACAAAGTATAATTGTCCGGGAATACTATCTTCATCGTGGGTCTTAACGAATCCTGTACTTCAAATTGAGCACAACCACGCAGGGAATAATCAAATTCAAATAATTGAAAACTTTAAAAACGACATCAAATCACGATCACAAAAAACTTGTGACAAGCCGAGTCAGATATTTGCGGAAGCTGTAAGTCAAATACCAGCCGAAGCTCTAATGTTCTTACCAAAAGAAAGTGTAGTAAAACGAACAATTAGAAACCAAAGAACTAAAAATAATCCTGCTTTAAATTGCATAAATGATATTGTTATAGAAGGTAAATACAATTTATTATTAAAATATAGGTACCTAGCCATTATTTTTTGTTATAGCGTAACCTAATTTTTCAGATGATTGGGCTTTAGTTAATGGTCAACAGTTTTTATTGGCTGATAATAAATCAACAACTGGTGAAAGAATTGTATTGTTTGCAACAGATGACAGCTTAAAAATGTTGACAGAGGCCAAAACGTGGTATTGCGATGGTAATTTTAACCTTAGTCCTAAATATTTTTTACAACTTTATGTTATAAGAGTTCAAAAAAATGATTCATATATAACTGCAGTATACTGTCTTCTTGAACGCAAGACAATGTCTATTTATGAAGAAATGTTCAAACTTATTTTAAATAAATGTGAAGAGCACGAATTATTTCCCGATCCAACCCACTTAAATGTTGATTTTGAAAAAGCTCTAATTTCTGCCGCTCAAACGATTTTTGATTCAAATTTGACTATAAGAGGCTGTTTTTATCATTTGTGCCAAAGTTCTTACCGAAAAGTTCAAGATTTAGGGTTAATCAAAATGTATAAAAATAACGACGAATTTAGTCATTTTTGTGGAATGTTGGACGGCCTTGCATTTCTTCCTCTTGAACATGTTTTCGAAGGAATGGCTTACCTTAAAACAATTGTTTCTCCTGAAGGAGAAGATCTTTTAAATTATTTTGACGCAACCTACGTAAATGGACCACTTAGAAAAGTAGGGGCTGGTACCAAATTCAAATTTAAAATAATAAGTCCACTTTTTCCACCGAATACTTGGAATGTACATAAAACAACGATGAATGGAGACCACCGAACGAATAATATATGCGAATCGTGGAATAACAGATTTAGTCATTTAGTTGGCCACAGTCATCCGACTATTTGGACACTTATCCGAAAAATGAGATTGGAAGTAGCGGCAGATAAAGCGAAATTAGCTATCGACAGCATGGGAGAGCCAGTAAAAAAAAAAAAAA